TCAATAACAACAATAAGTAAACAACTGAAATGAGATGTTTTCCTCCAGCTTTTATAAGCTTTTTAATCGTGTACGAGAACATTCTAATATTTTCTCGACTTTTCTGGATAGCAAAATTTTAAAACATTCTGTATATTACAATTACGAGATACCTATTTATTAAAATGTTGAATGCGCATGCTCCTGTATTTTAATTTTTCCGCCATAGCTTTCTCTTCAAATAAGTCTCGTGCTGCATTGCACGGGAATATGGAACAATTTTAATTACAAATTCTACTAAAAGTAGCTAAATAAATACAAAAACCGTAACAATATTTATAAGTACTTTATTATTGAAGAATAGTGGTAAGTTCAACATGTCACAAAAATTTCTTAGGATTAATGGTCGTCCCTTTGTTGCTTTTACGAATCTCAAAAATTAAAATCAGCTTAAAAGGCAGACACTGTAAGTAAGATGGAGTGATGTGCTTCAGGTTATTAAGATTTTGTGTCTTATACAGTTTGAAAGTTAGCAGTGTTTTTAATAATTTAGTTGTTATTTAAAGTATGTGTTTAACCAAATATCAATTTCGAGGGCAAACAGATGCAGGCTCCAGAATTTCTTTGAGAAATCTTTTCTCATGAAGAGGCACCTGTACATTTTTGCTCTGTAAATCCATTAGAGTCTTAGTTAAAATGTGAGCCAAACATAAAGTTGTTGCTTTGCCTTATTGGATTATCATCATTTGTGCTACCAATGCTACCGCGTGTTGAAATTTTTAGACTTTTTTAGATTCGGAGGAAGAATTGATTTGCTTCGGCAGTACATATACTAAAATTAGAACGATGCAGAGAAGATTAGCATGGCCTCTGCGCAAGGATGACACGCAAAATCGTGAAGCGTTCGACACTTTTTGACTAAATACCATCTCTCCTCCCGCCAAATATGGAGTGAGATTAACCGAGTGTATCGAAAAGTAGATTCACACCCAATTATTAGCCAGTCGACCAAACCACCCCCTGTCTAATACACGGGACTTAAGCTGGGACTCCAGCATGTACAGTTGCATTTAGTTGCAGGAGCACGCGCAAAGTTTGTTGTTGTTCTTCACTATATTGACGTGTGATTTCAATTCTGATCATTTTAATTCATATTTTCTCAATTGCCACCATTTGCGATAGAAATTTTTAATCGTCATCATCCAGTTTTCGTTTCAGTAACGTTGCGTAAAATAATGAGGGATCAATTGGACAATAACGTCTTTTTTCCACAAAGTTCCTGTGAAAATACAGTATATTGATGCTAATGAAATTGCTTGTGATTTTTTCTCACGTACTGCTTGAAGACTTTCTAGCTTTTGCTTCTTTCTAGCCCGCCGCAAATATCGCATTGGATTAAGACTGGGGCTAAGATTTTTCCACCAGGCACTTCTAAAATTTTTCTTACTTGAATTCTGCTGTCCAGTACAGTTGCACCTGTGACCCCAGTTCTGGTCTTATCACGACTTTCTTTAACATGTTGATTGTTTTGGTCTTCTTAATCTTTGATCCTCTTGTACGCCTTTACGAAAGCTTAGTACCCCAAAGAAATGTTGTGGTTATATCTAGTCACTGACTGATCACTGAAAATTTTATGCAGTCTGTTGTAAGATTCTGCTGAAGGTTTGTTCCACAACCGTTTCGTTTTGCGTAATTTTGTAATTGTGATTTTTCACAAGTCACAATATACCCATACACATACCAACTTTATTTCAAACAATTGCTACTTCAGAATGTCAATCTCTGAAGAATTAGTGGAAACTTAATTCATACCTTCAACTTCATGTAATATAAATGTATGTAAGTCGCGTCATTAAGAGATCAACCCTCTGTCAAACCCTGGTTTCCGCTACGAAAGCACAAATTTCAGAAAATTACCATCAGAAAGAATTATTTTCTTGATTTTAATGCCCAAATACCCCTGGTATTTTATACCTGGATTTATGTACTTTTAATGTTTTGCCTTAATTTCTTAGACATGTTTCAAGATTCACGTATATATGTTACCGTTGCTTATGTACGCACTAATGTACACTATTCGAATCACGAATGTCGCTGCCTATGCATCTAACTATCTAACGACGTATCTAAATGCCACATCTAAATTTCTGCAAGCGGTGGTTCAGCTATAATTCTATGATCAAATGCTCAATCTAGTTTTAAAAGGATTTATTAAAATACTAAAATTAATCTAATCTAGAATCGAATCTAATGTTACATCTCAGGAGCAGCGTTCTAGCTGCGTCATAACAAATCGAAAGTCAATTTCTCACTGTTGCCATTCTGAGGCAGAGAAAAGTTTGTTTCTAATCAAACCGGAACATCGGCATAGTGAAAGTTTCTAGTCAAACCGGAACATCCCGGCCCCCGTTGGACGATTGTCCAACATCATTTAGAAATGGGAGTGGGCTGATATTAGAGACGGCTCGACAAAGATTCCATCTAAAGTTCTGACATCTACGACTCGTACTAGTCCATCTGGACCAGGAAAGGTCTCCTCGATGCGAGCTAGTGTCCACTTCACGGGTGTCTTGTTTTTATCCTTTAACAAGACTAGTCCTGCCTTGAGTTTGGATTTCACTTGATTCCATTTTGAACGATTCTGCAAATAATTAAGATATTCTTCGCTCCAACGGTTCCAGAAATTAGCTCTAAGTTTTTGAATTAAGGTACATCTAGAATACAAGGACAAAGAATGTACAGAATCATTCGGTTCTGGAATCGACAAAAGTGGAGCTCTTATCAGGAAATGACCTAGAGTCAAAGGCTGAAGATCCGTTGGATCAGCTGAAATAGGTGCCAGAGGTCGAGAGTTCAAGCAGGCTTCTATTTGTGTAATTAATGTATACAGCTCTTCAAAGTTCAAAATTGTCGTTTTCGCGACCTTTGTCAAAATTCTCTTCATTGATTTTATATTAGCCTCCCATAATCCGCTAGAATGCGGAGAAGAAAGGAGGAATAAATCTCCATGTATACCTTCTTCGGAACTAAAGCGCTAAATAGGATCCATCACAAATCCTAAAGAGTTTTCAAGAACATTCTTCGTTCCCTTGAAGTTCGTAGCGCATCACTCCAAACAATGGATGGTTAAGATCGTCTGGCAATAACCTTCTAAGAACAGACAGCTAGAAAGGCTTCAGTAGACAAACCCGATACTACTTCTAGATGAATAGCCTTTGTACTAAAGCAAATAAATATCTCTATGTATGATTTAAACGTAACTCTATTCTTTTCAAATTAGGCTTAGTGATAACTGGACCTGCAAGTCCAGTCCTATTTTTCGAATGGTCTGTTATACGACTCTATCTCTAGGTAAGTCTCCCATCATTGGTTATGGTTTGGTTCCTTGTTCGAAAGCACGTCATGCATTTACTTATAAACGCGTCTAACTCTATCTTGTCAGGAAGGTATCCAGTATAATTGTCTAATAAGAGAAAGTGTTGTTTGAACGCCCGAATGAAGAGATTTTTTGTGATAATAATCTATGAGTAATTCAGTGAAATGATGTCTTTTTGGTAAAAGAAGTTGATGTTCTGGTCTTCTGAAAGATTGGAGAAACGTAGTCTCCCACCAACTCGTAAAAGTTCATTTTTCATCAAGAAATACTTTAAGGATAAAACCTTACTATTACTTGGAACTGATCGTTCGACTGCAGGCACTTAATTTCAGGTTGAAATTCAGAATGTTGTACACATTTGACTAGCACCTTTGTTGCATTCTTTAGTTCAGAAGCACTCAGAAAACTTTCTTTTCTTAATGGTGGATTGGTTCTGCAGTTGTTCGCAAACCTTAAACACCACGCAATAGTTCTAATCAATTTGCTGAATGACGAATAACTTTTAATGAATTAGTTCTCAATGGAATTTTCACCTGTGACTGTTGAGTTCACTACAGCTCCCCTTCGAAAATCAAGCTCTTCATGATCCTTGAAATCTCTCACTGATTCTGCAAGTTTAGGCCACGAATCGATGCTCTGTAATAGCCACTTAGGTCCATACCACCACATGTCACTGTTTCGTAGTTCAGATAACGTTATTACTTTCGTGGAATTTGTCTTTGTTCCTCTGGTCAGCATATCAGCTGGATTTTCATCTCCAGGGCAATAATTCCAGGACTCAGGTGATGTTTTCTCTCGTATTTCCATTACTCGATGTTGGATGAATGGCTTCCATTTATTTAAATCGCCCTTTATCCAATGTAACGTAACAGAAGAGTCTGACCAAAAATATACATTCATCTGGAGTCTTTTCTCTAACTGTTCTTTCACTTTCACATTTGAGACTAATCTTGCTCCGATGAGCGCCCCCATCAGCTCTAATCTTGGAAGGGACAGCTTCTTCAGTATCGCAGGTATATCACAGCTCCATATGCCTTCTGACTTGCGTTGGTAAAGCAAAGCATTTGAATATCTCTCAATTCAGACTTCTTAGTCTTTCGGAAGTAATGCCGCGGAATGTTTACATCCTGAATCGCTGACAGTTCATTAATCCATTTTTTCATTCTGTTTTCAAAGTCCAATGGTAACGGATCATCCCAATCTACCCCAAGTTGCCAAATTTCCTGCATTAGTACTTTTGCCCTAATAGTGAATGGACTTATAAATCCAATGGGATCGTAAAGCTTTCCAATGGTTTTAAGAACTTCTCCTTTTGTCATTAGATTTGTTTCTCCTTGAACTTGATTAGTTAGATGTTATTCTATCTTCAGAAGATCTTCCTTGTAATTCCATTTATATCCCAATACCTTCTGTTCCAGAACTTTCTGGATTTCACCATTTTTGTATTCGTCAAAAACTTCCTGCAGATTTCCACAATTTGTTTTCCATTTTCGCATGTTGAAATTAGCAGTCTTCAAAATATATCTAATATCTTCATATATGAGTTTGGCTTCGTTTTCGTCTTCATTCCCACCTATTAAATCGTCTACGTATAAACATTCGTTCAATAGTTTAACTGCTTTCTGATTTCTTTCTTTAAAGGTATTTATGTGATTTTGATAGTAGCGGCAAGCAAAAATGGGCTGGATGTAGCCAAACAAACGCGAGTCATCCTAAGTATTTTCGTGTTAGGTTTCCCATCCTTATCTGTAAGGTTTTTATTTCCCCACAAAAATCTTACAGCATCCCTATCTTCAGGTGACAGAGAAATCTGGAGAAAGGCTTGTTCAATGTCGGCAGTAAATGCTATGCTATGTGAACGAAATTGTATTAATATCTCCAACAATGGTGGATTTAAATTAGGACCGGAATAGAGACAATCGTTTAAAGAGTATTCATTTTTCGAATGGCTGGATGCATCAAATACAACTCTTACGGGTTTATCAGGTCGAATAACTGGTTGGTGAGGCATGTAAAATATTCTTCCTGTTTCTTCAGAACTTGGATCAATTTCCTCAGCTATACCCATTTTTAAATGTTGTTCTATAACTGAGTGATACTGCTGATGTAGCAGTGGATCATTTCTCAACCTTTTAACCAGTTTATTAAAGCGAACTTCTTCTGCATTTACGTAATTCGTTTTTAATTCAGACGAATGTTCATTCCAAGGAGTTTGAACCTCCATATCGCGTTTCTTTAAATTTGATAGTTCTGTTAAAATCTCTAAAATGTCATTATCTATTTTACTAATTCCTTCCTTCCCTTGTTCTATTCCCAATGTTTCTAATTCCCAAACTGCTTTAACTGTGTTGAGACCAATTTGTCGTCAACATAATGTCCATGTTTAACATTTTACCGTTAGAATCAGTCCGGCCTTGAAGGCACCATCCAAATATTGTTTCGGAAGCTATAAGTTTATTTTTAAAACGTTTAAGTCTACCAGTTATTACTTCATAACAGTAATCTGCTCCGATCAAAACAGTAATATTTTTGTCACTGAATTCACAAGAATCAGCTAATTGTAGTCCTATTATCTTTTCGTTAATTTTGGAAACTGGGATATCAGGGAAAGGCAAATTAGTTGCACATATTTGGTTAGTTTCTAAAGCTTCAATTTCTATATTTAGGGATGGTTCACTTCTGTTTTCTAGTTTAACTTTAACAACATTTTAAGTTTGTTCTGTTGCCTGGTTAACCCCAAAGCCAAATACGGACAAAATCTCCTTTCGAATAACAGGTAATTTACACTTCTCTGAAATGTCCCGAATTATAAAACTTCTCATCGATCTATTGTCTAATAGAATACGAACTGGTTCTAAATTAGCCTTACCAGAAAATGCGCGTATCATCACAGTGCTCGTTTGTAGCAACGCACTTCGGAAAATTTCGGTTTTTAATTGACTAATCTGAACATATTCGTTACTGGATGGAATTGTCGACACGACTTTTTTTTTCTCTGATTTGGTTTCAAGTTGGAAACAAATAGACCTACTGTGTTTTTTATTACATATTTCGCACTTTTTCTTTCCTTACACTGCTTTATTTTATGCTGAGATTTTAGGCACAAAAAATATCGGGCTTGAAAATTTCAAAATATTTCTTTTCTCCTCCACGGTTTTAAATTCACAGCGCTCTGAATCGTGTAGTTCGTCACAATATATGCATTTACTCCTAGCGACTGAAGCAATATATTCATACATTTTAGGAGAACTTCTTTCAAACTTTTTACTGCGCTTGTTGTTTACATTATTGTGAGCGGAGTGGAGAGGATCGTTTGATTTATGCCTCCAGTTATGAATCATTCCCGCTCGGTGTTTTGTTTTGGTTTCTCACTTTTATTACTGCGTACTCTTCGCGGCTTTCTATTTTCTTTACGAATAAATTCCATTAATTCGTTAACGTTCCATGTTTGGTCACTCTTTCTACTGCGACTGTATTCTAATGTTATCTCTGATGGAATTAATTTTAACAATATGGGCAAAGAAAACTACCGTAAGTTTCTGATACGACGTTCATTGACTAAGCATCTAATTTGAGTTCACACTGGTCATATAAATTCCTAAGATTTTCTATATCCTCACATTTCTAACAGGGGAAGATTTAACAGTTTATTCATGTGAGCATTTATACCAAATCTTTTCTCCCAAACCTGTTAATTAACAATTCTATAGCTGAATCGTAGTTCTCATTTCTAAGCGAGAGTCCGGAAACGGCATTATAAGCTACCACCCCACCTAGTAATGACTTTAAATAACTGAACTTATTTACTTTCGATAATGAGTCATTGTTATGGAGCTGCCTCGAATTGACTCCAAATTCCTGCCAATTGCTAGAATCACCAAAAAATTTAGCGATAGTCAATTTGGAAGGCGAATAATTTTATTATTTTCAAGTTTGGAATCTACAGCGGTTTCATTAGGAATGTTCATACTTTCCTTATCCGAATTTTCGAGTTTGTGTAATTCCCTCCCTCAATTTTTTTTTTTCCTGCTCTAATTGCCACAGTTGGTTTTTTTTTTTTTTTTTTTCATATTCTAGAGCGGATGAAACTTCAAGTTCAAATCATCCTCTGGGACCTTCAAATCCTGTTCTATTGAGTGTTTAAATCACTCAGAGTTTTTTTGCCTTTTCGTTTAATATGTGTTAAAGTTCTTCTCTATACACTTATACTAACGTCATCTTTGCTTAATTCTGTCTCAGTTTTCTTTAGTACCTTGGACACTGCTGTCCTTAATACTTTACGTTTCGATTTAAGCTTAGAGACAGGATCTTCCATAATTACTTAATAAGTTTTCTATTTTAAACTTATCCTACCTTTTGCAGGCTTTGCACACTTCACACAGTGCTAATCCATACTTACGAATCCATATTTTCGAATATTAGCCGACTTCCCGGCCGATGCACCAAAAAATGTTTATGTACGCACTAATGTACACTATTCGAATCACGAATGTCGCTGCCTACGCATCTAACTATCTAACGACGTATCTAAATGCCACATCTAAATTTCTGAAAGCGGTGGTTCAGCTATAATTCTATGATCAAATGCTCAATCTAGTTTTAAAAGAATTTATTAAAATACTAAAATTAATCTAATCTAGAATCTAGAATCGAATCTAATGTTACATCTCAGGAGCAGCGTTCTAGCTGCGTCATAACAAATCGAAAGTCAAGTTCTCACTGTTGCCATTCTGAGGCAGAGAAAAGTTTGTTTCTAATCAAACCGGAACATCGGCATAGCGAAAGTTTCTAGTCAAACCGGAACAACCGTGAAAGACCGAAATTGGAGAATGTCGACTTTCACCGGAGAATGTTAACATTCACCATTCGCATGATATATCATCCCATCTGTTCTACCTTTCAATTACACTAAGCACTTAACTCAAAGCAGCTAACATTCAGGGTGTATATTTAATTCCAGTTGCATCACTTGGCAGTGCTGCTACTTTATGCGCTAGCTTTAAAACACCTCCTACATTAGCATTATGATGTGCCATTATGTATCTCCAATGTACTGAACACTACTATAAGTATGTACAGATTTTTTAATATTAAAAGTTTGAAAATAAAGCAAAACTTGAAATCTGCGTTTAATGAAAAACAAATTTAAGGGCGTACTGTTTGAAAATACGCATGTATTTATTTTAAAGCTACGGATATAATTTATTAAAATATATAGATAAGATCTCGAATCTTAAGGTTCACTTTCTCAACAAAAATTGGCAAATATATAAGGTAATTCAAACATGAACGGTACAAAAGCGAAAAATATTTGTGACCTCAACAATTAATTTGTTTTACAGAAATATGAAATGAAAGAATAACTCTTTAATTTCCATTTGACAATACTAGAAACCTCATTAGAGACGACGATATTCAAAATGTCTGCTTCCGCTAAAGAAAAAGTAATTGGAGGCTAGACCACACAAAAACTCTATCAGTAACCTTTGTTTGTAGATATATACGGATCAAATTTGTCAAAGAAGCATTTACTATCACAACATCACAAAGTGGATGGAACAGTTTAAGGAGATGGACTGCTTATGCAAGAGAAGGAAAACACAGGACGTCCTGGTCAACAATCAAGCATAGGCAAATAATTGGAATGGCAGAAAACATTTGTGCGATTTAACCATTAAACTCTGACACGTCCAAGCATCATACCAACAGACAACTAAACATGCTAACTGACAACTAAGCGAAAATATGGCATATATTGCGAAAGCTTCTATATTTCAATTGTTACAAAATTGACATAGAACGGACACTGAAAAATACCAACGAGCTAAATGGAGAAAGTTCAGCATAGATCTGAAAGTGGATGATTTCTCGTGCAGACTCGCTTTCACCGATAAAGCCACGTTTCATTTATTTGGCAAAGTGAACAAGTATAATATAATATTTGGAGAATGGAAAAATTCGTTTATCATAGTGGCACACAGCGGCAGACAAAAGCAGGTATCAATACACAATGAAAGATCACATCAGCAACAAAAAAAAAAAAAAAAAAAAAAAGAGAGAGAGAGAGAGAAAAGAAAGAGATATTTCCACACACAACTGCGTCCAAACTAAATAGCAATCAATGACTTAGAACATACAATTGAAGCTTCAGATAAAATTACTAAATAACTGGAGTAACCATCATTACGAAATAATCACTTAAAGAAATTTATACAAAATGGTCGAGAAAAACCAGCTGAAACATTTCCGCCTAAGATTTTAAACATTCATACAGAGAAAAAATCTGGCAATAAATCAAAGTGCAGTAATTATAGGAAAGAGGGGGAGAAAACAGATTGAGGAAAAGCGTGTAGGGACAGATCCCAGTGATAGGACATAGCCTACACTGTCGAGCGCTTTACATAAAGCTGGGAGTAAGGAAGGCAAAAAAAGAAATTTTAGATTATTAAGTTTATTAATTAAAATATCAATTGAATTTTTATTAAATAAACACTTTTTGTTAATTAATTTAACTATCATAATTTATCTTATTATTACTACTTTAACAAACTGAGGGACACTGTATTTATATTAGCTCATAATTCTAGCATATTTATTCAATGAATATAGACTAATCCACATCGCATATTTGGGTATTAAACAAAGGGCAAAGAAAAGTATGAGTAAAGGATAAGAATAAAAATGGTAGAGGAAAAAAAATTACAGTAATGTATTATATTTAAAGGCGAATAAGCGAACTGAAAATAGGTCAGAGATGGAAGAAGCAAATGGAGCAACCTAATCAGCCGCCAATGCCTCAAATTCTCATTTTCCCTCTCAAGAAATTCCTCAAAGCAAGAAATGGAGTTCGGAAGGATAACAACTGATTGATGAGAATGCATAGAGAAAGTAGAGTCTGTTCAGAGTAATTGCAAGAAAGGAACCACATAATTATGAGGAATTATTAACTAAATTAAATGAAATGCCAGAAACTTAAGACAAAAATAAATTAATTAAAAAGCCTTAAGTAATAGAGATTTGGTTTAGTTTAGAGAAAGGAAGGAAACTTGTCTTAATATTTTGTAATAGGTGCTTGGTTTCGATTTCCTACGTATTATAGGAAATGATAAAGATCAAAGGGAAATCTTCAGTTCGATTGACGAGACATTAAGGAGGAAAAAAGGCAAAAAACTTATGAACGAAGGTGAGAAATAAGCTATACGCCTCTAAAAATTTCGCAGTTCT